AAAATATCACTACATCTGATATTCTAATTGACAAATTGACTGAAAATAAAAAAGAATAATTGGCTGAAAATGAATATGATATTATTAATTAACTGAAAATATAAAATGAAATGAATATTAATAGTTGACTGCAAATAAAAAATGATCTATAATTAACTAATATGAAAAAAATAAATGGTTAGATCATTGCATTTTAATTAAAAATTGATGGAAATTAAAATTTGACGGAAATATTTCAACAATAATATTCTACATCATAGATAATAAAGGCATATTTTAAACAATAATAAAGTTAAATTAAAAATGCAACGGAAATATTTCAATAATAATATTATACATAATCAATTAAAACTCGAACGAAAATTAGGTAAAAATATCATTGCATATGATATTCTAATTGACTAATTGATTAAAAATAAAAAAGAATAATTGGCTGAAAATGAATATGATATTACAAACTAACTTAAAATATAAAAAAATCCCTAATTGACTAATATTCTACCATTATATATTTTGACTCGAGTCACCCATCATGATGGGCTGAAGGTGTTAGCTATAGACGATGATGGACAAGATTGTGTTGCTACTACCAATGTCGAAAGATGTTTCAATAATTTGTACATACAATCGTTGATATTTTTTTAAAATGACAAATTTGCTATATATCTAGACAAAAATATATATATCTTCCATACAAATGAATTAAGATAGTAATTCATTCCTATAACTGAGTTGCTTGAGAATGAGCACATTTGACTAATTTATAAAAAAAAAAAATACTAAACAATGATAAATAAAATTTCCAAAATTACAGCACCGCATGCGTACATCTACACATTAGCTATTAATTTGAGCAATCATTTGCTCTAATTTGAGCAATGATAACATCAAAACACATAGATAATCCAAACCATATGTTCAATTGCACTATATAATATTTGATGTTCTAATTTAAATAATTATATATTGATCCAAATATTCTTAATATATTACAACAAATTCATTCTGTGCATCGAACGGGTGAAAATACTATTATTCTAATAATTTTTCTTTCCTTCTTTCGTGTAATTACTATGCTAATGTATTTAAATATTGAAAGAGAATTCTATAAAAAGGATCCTTAACTCACTAAAATTCTATATTATTCTTAAAAACAAAACCCCCATTTCTTACTTACCCGCCCAAACAATAAAAAAAAAATTACCAATTAATAATACTAATAATAATTAGTAAAAAAGTTAGTAGTAAAATAGAAAAAAAGATCCTTAATTCACAAAAAATAGAAAAGGAAACGGGATTCACTAATTAATTAAAACTAACAATAATCAGTAAAAAAAGATGCTTAATTCACTAAAAATGAAAATATAAACAGAATTTACTGATTATGACTAATAATAATTGGTAAAATAGGAAAATAAAAAATGAGTCTTAATTCAATGAAAATGGAAAAAAGAAACGTAAGGGTGTGAAAAAAAAGGGGTCATAATAAGGATAACAGTAAAAAAAGAAAATTCTACTAAAAATAAGAATAATAAAAAAAGTTTCTTAATTCACGAGAAATAGAAAAGGAAATGGAATTCACTAATTAATTAATAGTAATAATAATCAGTCAGAAAATTAGCAGTAAAATATGAAGAAAAAAAAAAGATCCTTACTTCACTAAAAATGGAAAAATAAACGAAATTTACTGACTAATACTAATAATAATCAGTAAAATTGAAAATAAAAAAGGATTCTTAATTCAATGAAAATGAAAGAATTTTTTTTTTTAAAAAGGGGTCATAATAAAAATAACAGTAATAGCAATCCTACAAAAAAAATTGAAAAAAAAAGATTCATAATTTACGAAAAATAGAAAATGAAATGAAATTCACTGAATAATTAATACTAATAATAATCAGTAAAATTAAAAGTTAACATTAAAATAGAAAAATATAAAAGGATCCTTAATTCACTAAAAATAGAAAAAGAAACGAAAGTCACTGATTAATACTAATAATAATAAGTTAAATAGGAAAATATAAAAAGATTCTGAATCTATACCATTATTAAAAAGAAAATCCTTCTTCCTTACTTTCACACCCAAACAATAGAAAAAGAAAAAAAATTTATAATAAAATTAAAAATAAAATTCTATTTACTTGATTTATCGCCCAAACAATAGTAAATAGTAAAGGTAAATTAAAAAAAAAAAGAATGAAAAAAAAGAACAAAAATATTTCACAATAATATTCTATATTATCAATTAAAAATGGAATGAAAATTAGGTAAATAAATAAGTACTATATTATCAATTAAAAATGGAATGAAAATTAGGTAAATAAATAAGTATCTGTTCAAACATATTTTCTCAACCAACACCTTCACTAAGGCTCAATCTCATGACTTCCCACATAAGAGAGGTCACTACATGCCATATGAGCACAAGGTGCTTGGCAACAAACATTAGGTTAATTGAAAAAGGAAATGAATATTAACAATTGTTTGAAAATAAGAAAAAATTCATAATTGACTAAAATAGAAAAAAAAATGATCAGATCATTGCATTTTAATTTTTCACAATAATATTACACAGTATAATACATCAAATCACAAGTATGTCATAAATTTTACACAATTTTAAACAATAAAATGGAAATATTTTAATAATAATATTCTACACTATCAAGTAAAGGTAAATTAAAAATGAAAAGGAAATACTTCAATAATAATATTCTACATCATCAATACTAAAGACATATTTTAAACAATAGTAAAGGTAAATTAAAAATGTAGCGAAAATTAAAAATGAAATGAAAATATTTCAATAATAATATTCTAAATCATCAATTAAAAATGAAACGAAAATTTGGTAAAAATATCATTGCATTTGATATTTTAGTTTGCTAATTGATTAATTGACTAAAAATAAAAGAGAAGTAATTGGATGAAAATAAATATGATATTACTAATGGATTGAAAATTTAAAAGGAAATGAATATTAATAATTGACTGCAAATAAAAAAGGGAAAATAACACTTTTTCCCCTGAGTTATATACTTATAGCACTTTTTCCCTCTCAATTATTTAGGTAAGCACATTAGCCCCCTCAATTATTTTAAAAGTGGTAGTTATCCCCCCTAATATATTAAATTGACATTTCTACCCTTAAAGTAAACATTTTATTTATTTTACTTCTCCAACAAATTATTGCGTATACGTAGGGATCACCACGGTTCGGTTTGAACTGAACCAGACACTATAGCAATCGAATTAAAAGTTTCCGGTTATGATTCAGATCGAGAACCCAATATTTGGATTTCAATTTATTAAAATTATGAATCAAAAAAATTGGATCCTAAACCGTGAATCAGCGGTTCCAGATCCGATTCGCGATTTTGAACCGTCTTTATTTTAAAATTTTATTTTTTATTTTAAAATAGTCTAACTTCAACAATAAATGTATTTTATTTTTTTCAGTTCGGAACATGAACCGTCCGTTCCAGTTCGCGATTTTGATAAACTCTAAATATCGAGTTTCGATTCTAAATTGTAATTGAAATATTTCGGTTTGGTTGCTATAGTGTTTGTTTGGTTTGAAACAAATTATGATCATAATTTGATGGAGATGAAAAATAAATGAAATATTTATTTTAAGGGTAAATATGTCCATTTAACATTTCAGGGGGAAAAACAGCCACTTGAATAATTAAGGGGGGAAAAGTGCTATAAGTATATATCTCAGGGGAAAAAGTACCATTCTCCCAATAAAAAATTATTCATAATTGACTAATATGAAAAAAATAAATGGTTAGATCATTGCATTTTAATTAAAATGGAAGGGAAACTAAAATTGAACGCCAATATTTCAATAATAATATTCTACATCATAAATAGTAAATGCATATTTTAAACAATAGTAAAGGTAAATTACAAATGGAACAGAAATATTTCAATAATAATATTATACATCCTCAATTAAAAATGGAACACAAATTAGGTAAAAATATCACTCCATGTAATATTCTAATTGACTAAAAATACAAAAAAAATAATTGACTGAAAACGAATATGATATTACTAATTTATTTAAAATATAAAAGGATCGCTAATTGACTAATATTATACCATTATATATTTTCACCGAGTCACCCATCCTGATCAATTGAAGGTGTTAGCTCTAGACGATGATGGACAAGATTGTGTTGCTACTACCAATGTCGTCTACAAAGAGGTTTCAACAATGTGTAAATAAAATCGTTGATATTATATTTTTTAAATGACAAAATTGCTATATGTATAGACAAAAAAAATATCCTCCATACAAATGAATTAAGATAACAATTCATTCATATAACTGAGTTGCTAGAAAATGAACACATTTGTATAATTTATAAAAAAAAATACTAAACAATGATAAAAAAATCTCCAAAGTTATAACACTACATGCATACATCTACACATTAGCTATTAATTTGAGCAATTATTTGCTTGAATTCATACAATGATAATATAAAAACACATAAATGATCCAACCCGTATATTCAATTGAACTATATAATATTTGATGTTCTAACTTAAATAATTATATACCAATCCAAATATTCTTAATATATTACAACAAATCTATTCCGTGCATTGCACGGGCGCAAATACTAGTTTGACCAATAAAATATTTAATTAATTTGACTATAAAAATTTGAGCGGGAAAATTACATAGGAGGATTTTACTTTTATATATATATATATATATATATATATATATATAGATATAGATATAGATATAGATATAGATAATAATAATAATAATATATATAGATATAGATATAGATATAGATTATGCCTTCTTCACATTCCATAATCCTTTCCCTTTCCAAAAGATAGAAACATGATTAAACTTTAAAAAATTTGAAAAATAAGTTATTGTTGAGAAAAAAGAAATTTTGAAGAAAAAGAAAAAGGTAGACAAGGTGAGAGAGTGTATAGTTTGAGTACGACAGCGCGACAAATTTTGAAATTCATTATCGAGGATTTGAAAAAAACACAAATGATCCCAAATTTTAAGATTAACCATTTACTATAATTTGCAGTATAATTTTGTTGTCTGCTATGATCATCAAAGAGGGATCTTGAAAACCCCATTTCTTCCTCCCTCAACTTCCTCTCTCTTCTTCTCTTCTTCACTATAATCTTTTATATTGCACTGTTAATTCTTTCATTTTCTGCCGAGAGAATCTCTGTTGCCCATTGCCAGAGCAGTACTGCTCGTAATTTCTCCGCCATTTTCAAAAAAAGGGGGGAAAACCCTTTAAGAAGAAGAAAGAACAGTGACTCAGACTCTCAGTCGGCTCGCCGGACGCCGGGAATTGGAGAAGTCTTGGGAGGTGTGCTAGCAGTGTTTTACTAGGGATTGGCGTCGGTAATTTGGTAATATTGTAGTTGGGTTTCGAAAATGTGGAGGTGGGTTGGTGAGATCTGGAGTGGTTCAGTAGCATGAAGAGACCAATTCCTCCGATTCTAGCCGCCGCTACTAGGGTTTTTCGCCGTCGAAAGTTTCGTTTGCATTTTTCCGCACCGACTTCTCGATGACTACTACCAAACGTGCTTACAAGCTACGTATCCTTTCCATTTTCCATTATTCTTTTTTAAAAATTTTGTTTACTGCTGGAAAATGTGGTTTGGGTTCCTATCTGTAAGAAAAAGTAAAGAAACTAGATCTATAATGTTGTAAGATCTAATTGGTTATAATAAATTGCTGAAGAATGAGGAAATTCCTTTCGTTTTGTTTTAATTTGTTGGCCTTGACAATGTACTATTATAGAGGAGTTTGTAGCACATTCTTTGAGTGTGAACTGCCTCAAAATCGGGAGAAAGTCATCTAGGGTTCTTGTAACTGGTGGAGAAGATCACAAGGTTAATCTTTGGGCCATTGGCAAGCCTAATGCTATCCTGGTGGGTTCAGTTCTCCTCTCATTTTCCACTTTTCTTTTCTACTCAAGTTGTTAAATTTTCTCATGTTAGTGTTAACTGAAGTTGAGATGGTGGAAGACAGTAGCATAAAAGACTAGTATTGCTTTGTAATGTTGAGACATCTGCACTATTTTAGTACCAACAAGTATTTAGTTTTAAGTTATCTTACTTGTTAAAGGCACCTTATTTTTGTTGTGCTTTCTTGTGTGTGCATTACATGGACCCATTTGTGTTTCATATTGCGGCAATTGCATTGGATGCTAAATTGATGATTTCATTTGCTTTGCAATCCATGTATTAATACTGTTTTTCATTGCCGGTGTATCTCTACATTATCTTGTGCCTCTATTCCTTGTGTAGAGTCTGTCAGGTCATTCGAGCGGGATTGATTCAGTTAGCTTTGATTCTTCTGAAGTTTTGGTAGCTGCAGGAGCAGCAAGTGGGACTATCAAGCTTTGGGATTTAGAGGAGGCCAAGAGTATGCATGCTGTAGTTCCTTTTTATTTATTTATTTTACTTTTAATACCTGCTGTAGAACTTTATCATTTTTATTCGTTGGTTTTCTCTTTTCTTAGTTGTCCGGACACTCACCGGACATCGGTCCAATTGTATATCTTTGGACTTCCATCCCTTTGGAGAGTTCTTCGCATCTGGTTCTCTTGACACGAATCTAAAGATATGGGATATCAGGCGAAAAGGGTGTATCCATACCTACAAAGGTCACACACGAGGTGTTAATGCCATCAGGTTTACACCAGATGGCAGGTGGGTTGTATCTGGTGGAGAAGACAATACTGTGAAGGCAAGATCCTTTAACCTTTTTTAGAACCTACCATACAATTGACAGGGTATTGTTTGGTTTGAAAGTACTAGTTCATTATGAACTTCATGTTTAGATACATGCTTAAACATGTTTACTAAGTATCCAAACCATCCAAGTTTTACTTTTTGTTCAATACATTGTTACTAAAAAAAGAGCTCTATCTTTTTATCTTTTCCTTCCCTAGATAAACAATAGCTATCTGCTGGCTTATGTTAGCACTTAGCAAAATGTAGGTTCAGTTTTTTATAATGATTGAATGAGTAAAGGAAAAAATCATAAGTTCCTAACAGTAAATTCTATGTTGCAGCTGTGGGATTTAACTGCTGGAAAGTTGATGCATGAATTTAAATGTCATGAAGGCCAGATTCAGTGCATTGATTTTCATCCACATGAGTTTTTGCTGGCAACAGGTTGGAGAATAGTTTTTGGTTTGATGCTACATAGTTTTGTTTCATCTTGTATTGATTTTTTTCAACCAGTTAAAATCATTTGCTGTTTTTTGCTGTCTTCTTCTAGTCTTGACTATAGATGATTGAGACTATGTTTGACATCTGTTTTAGTTGCAACTTTCAGCTGATTTGTTCAGTAACAGTATCAATCTGAGTAGAGGTCATGTTTCGCTATTCAGGTAATAAGTTAAAATATGGTAACTGGGAAGAATAATATACTAAATATATAACCTAAAGCTCAGTGTCATGGTTTCCTGTTGTTAGTCAATCTAACCTGACAGAATAGTGGAGTCATGATTGGAAAGAATGGACCAAAAGCTACAGAAACTTGTGTTCCCAATGCAGATCTTGAATTTGTATCCATAATTAAGTTCTCTTAGAGAAGGCATGACCTTGAAGTTTGCTATCTGTGCTGAAAGCAGTTTATCAAATGAGACCTTATTTTTGTATCTCTGCTATGAATTTGGCTACAATTTTTTACTCTTTGATTAGATGGAATCAGGATATCCCAAAATTTATGTCAATATTTGCTGTCCTCATCAACCATGCAATATTTGAAATGAAAATGATAACAAGTAAGAGTTTTTCTAATAAGACAGTGTAATACAAATATCTACAATGCTTCCCAGATGACTATTATGAACCTACCATTATGGATTGACATGAACCAACAGCGACTGCCTAATTGAGATGGAATATTCTGTAGCCCATAAACCAAGATACAATTATCACAGTCTGGATACAGTCTTTGGGATATGATGGTTTTTATTTTCATCTTTCTGGTTAGAACAGCTTAAAATAGGCTTATCTTGTTCTGATGTCTAGAGCAATTGAATAATAAAAAAAATGAAGAATAGCAAATGATGCGTGAAATTGTACAGATGGACTGTTTATATGAGATAACAACCAAATTTAATCAAAAGGCTAGTCATGCAAACATTGGGTTTTCAACCTTTAAATGCTCTTTTATTCATTAGATTATGTAATTCACTGTCAACTGGTTATTTTCTTAGTAAAGTTATCTCTTATCATCAAAATCATTAACCACCTCATTTTTGTCTTTAACAGGTTCAGCTGACAGAACAGTTAAATTCTGGGATCTAGAGACATTTGAACTTATAGGCTCAGCTGGACCTGAGGTGACATTCTTATTGTCATTGTTTCCCCCTTTTTTTTTTTTTTTTTTTTTTTTTTTTTTCCAGATTTTGGCTCCTAGCCTCTTGTTATCTTAAATTAAAATAGACCTCTCTGTTTTGTTTTATTTTGTGTTTGTGTGTGTGTGCTTTTTTGGAGTACATCTGATGGGGTATGAGGGTGTTGTGATTTGAATCCAGGTCTACCACATGGAAAGGATTATAACTTACTATGCAACTACACTATGAACCCAAAATAGACAGAACTGCTTTAATAGTTTGTGTTTGTTTCCTTGTTGCAAATACAGACTTCTGGAGTGCGCTCTATGACATTTAGCCCTGATGGGAAAACCCTACTATGTGGTTTGCATGAGAGCATGAAGGTTAGATCATTTTTTATCTCTTGATCTCTTGATAAAGTAAATATTGGATTAATTTGTCATGGCATTTATCTCCTTTTAGGCTTTCCTTTAAAGTGCTGTGCTTCTTTTGTAGGTTTTCTCATGGGAACCAATTAGATGTCATGATTCTGTAGATGTAGGATGGTCCAAACTGTCAGATCTAAATGTCCATGAAGGGAAACTTCTTGGCTGTTCCTACAATCAAAGTTGTGTTGGTGTATGGGTTGTGGATATATCGGTATGACTCATTGTTTCATTGCTAAATGCCTTGTTTATGTTTTAATTCTTTGGATTTATAAGTAATGTATTTGTGATCTTGTGTTCCCACAGCGCATTGAACCATATACAATTAGAACTAATACTCGATTAAATGGTCACTCTGAAGTGAAGTCTAATTCAAGCACAACTTTATCGGGACTGGCAGAGGATTCTGCAAAAGCCAGCTTAGGCAGGCTTTCAATTTCTCAAAATTCAGATCCTGTCAAAGAAACTAAATCTTTTGGAAGACTTTCGGTATCCCAAAATCCAGACATTCAAAGGGAGCCCAAATCTCAAGCATGTATGCTATATCCATCTTTTAAGCTTCTGAAGCTAACATGGTGCCCCTCTTTAATTTAGTTATTTTCTGTAACTTTCCTGCTAACATTCTGTGTTAGTTTTGAGTTCCTCCTTTCTGTTATTTCTATGTTCCAAATATTTGTGTTAAAGTTTTCTTGGCATTCTTTTAACATTCTGCTTAAATGAAGCTACTGGAAATGTTCCTGGTACCCCACAAAGGATAAATCTGAATGTCGGTCAAAGAGCAACTTCAGTAAATTCAGTTGCAGTTCCTAACATGACATCTCTAAAGAGGAATTCAGTCAAAGTTCAATCATCAACCAACTCTTCAGCTTTCAACAGATCAGAAGTGGTGCCTGTTATTGTCCCAAGAAATAACAACATAAAATTGGAGCAGTTAGCTGAATCAAGGAAAGAAGGAGTTGGAGCCCATGTGCCACCACAATCCTTGCAATTGAAAACATCTGATTTACGTAAGTTTTCAAATGCAACTGGTGACCCAGGAAGGCCGACTTATTCTACAGAATCTGACATTGATGTCCCAAAACCTGCTGAATTGATTGGAATTCCAGAGAGGAACATATTTCCTGCAATTAAGAATTCAGCAATTGGAATTGCTGCACCTGAGAGGAATATGAAGGATGACAGACATTTTCCTTCTCTAAAACTTGAAATGAATACTACTGCTGAACCACTTGCCAGAAACCAGCATGAAAACTGTGCGTACACTCTTAAGCACTATCTGCTTTTGCTTTTCAATTTTGTAATCTGTTTCCTGAGTTTGTCTATGTAACTTTGTGTCTATTTTACTCTATCAGTCCTTTCTAGTATGGATATGGATATAGGCATCAAATCATTCTTACTGCAGGTGACCATAAGTAACATTGTTCCATGATTGTTGATTTGTGGGTACATTGCTGGTGCATTATACACATTGTGTTTTTCAGCCGCTTCATGTTTCGAATTTTTTTATCTTTATGCTAATGTTTTAACAAATATTTTAAACTAAAGGGATAATCTATAGGTTCAAATGTTTAATTAGAGTTATGTCATGCCTCCAGCCCATTTTCTTTCATAAAACCAAACTTTATTTCCGTTTTCTCCTTTTCTTTACCCTGTATGTGTGTATATAGACTTGGAAGTGAACCTAAAGCTCCTTTACATGGTTTGGTATGCCTATTGCTGGATTATCTACTGCAAGCCTGCAACTATTCTCTGAATCACTTTCTTATTTATGTAACAGTTCATTTGAACTACAATTTTCATATTTTCTGTTTTATTTTTTTATTTTTTATTTATTATTATTTGTTTTTTTTTTTTGGGGGCAGAACTATACCTATTATCCTTGATCCTTTGATGATTGTTGTGGGGGAAAATTTTCTGTGCAACATTTTTCTCGCTGAAGTTGCTACCTTCTCTGCTTCACACCATGATTTCTTTGACGACATTTTTAATGTGCATTTAACAGGATTATCATGAATTTGTTTGTGGACTGATGATTGGACTAAACTTGATGCTCATCACATTCCTGGTGCATTTTTACTTGTAGGCTTGTGGCTTCTGAATGATTGCAGTATTGTGTGTTAAAAGTAATTCAATTTTCCTCTGGTTGTCTGTAGGTTGCATAATGTATTTCCAAATGTGCTCTAACCACTATTCTATGTGCTGTGCCAGTATGTTTTTGTGAATACTTGATATAAATTATTGTCTTAAAGTTAATATACTTGTGAAAACATAGAAGTGTCTCTTTAATGCTTTGCTTTTATTGCTGCAGTATTTATACAAGGTTATCTTCTCTAATTTTTGTTCAAGGAATTTTTTTTCCCTGAATTTACAGCCAATGTCATTTCATCCAATTATTTCCTGCAGTTATTGTTTCTTCTTTCTGAGAGAACATCAAAAGGATATGATCCTTTAAACTCTGCTAACCCAATTTACATGGCAGATGATACCCAAGTGCCTACGTCTAATAAAGATGCATATTCCATGGAAAGTCAAAGAAGAGGTATTTTCTTGTGTCTATTTTATTTTTTATTTTTTATTTTTTAAATAATTTATTTATATAATATAAATGAAAATCAACAGTGGAGGTACTAAAAAACTTAGATACATATAACTGACTGTAAAGGAACCCCTGTTATTTTCTTTTGAATGTTATTGACTGTATCCTGTGGAGTTTGACTTATTATTCTGAATTTAAATTATTTAGGGAGAGCACGGCCACTCGTAGCAAATTGGGACAAGAGAGAGAGAGTTACTCAGTTTGACGGTTTTGCAGTCAGCTGTCCTACTGGGAATCTACATGCTCAGAGCACACTCCAAGCTAATATAGTATGTCCATATATGCTACATTCTTTATTCTTTGTTGGTATTGCTTTCCTCCTGCTGGCGGTATCAGTGGTATTTTGTAGTGCAAACACATCAATTTTCCGAATTATTGATCCGTCAATAAAGTTTTTTGAATTGTGTACGCTTTAAGATTGTCATAGTGAGATAATCTGGTGTTTTTTTTTTTTTTTTTTTTTTTTTTTTTTTTTTTTTGTGATTGTAGTGACAGTGTAGTTAGGCTTGACCACAGTTTGGTTCAAATTAGACAGTTCGGACCGAACCGTCTACTGTTTGAACCAGATTTTTTTTTAAAAAATAAATGTTAACTATTATTTAAATACAAATTATTTGGTTAAAGTTTAACTATTATTTGATTAAAGTTTTAAACTTTAAATAACAATATAAAGTTTAACTATAACAATTATTTTTATTTTTTAGTTCAACTTTGAAGTTTAAATATTTCATATAACCATTTTTTAAAAAAATCATTATGAAAAAATTAATTGTTGAATTTGAACGCTTTTATAAATACAAAATAGAATTTACACAAAAAAAAACAAAAACTTGATTCCAACCGGAACCGCCGGTTCCAGAACCATGGACATGACTAAGTGCAGTTGACTTTAGTTAAATGGGATGGTTGGTTCATTGAGAGTGGTTACTTTATAGTTCCAAACAAGATAATTCAGAGGCAGTAGTCAGGTTGGATGATTAAGATTTAGGTTTCACTTCAGTAGGCAAATATACATTGTGAATCCAGCTGCATACATACATGCTAGGCTGCCAGTGTATATTCCTAACCCAATGGTTTTCTTTCAACTGGCAGAGGTCATATCTTCATTTCTTGTGATCTTTTCTTTGCCAAAGTAGAATTGTAAAAATTGGGGATCTTGCCTATATTGAATCTCAAATAGTAAAAGGGCGGTGTAGTGGGGGATTATAGCTGTAACTTTGTTATCAGGATGTCTCACCTGGAATAACACAAACTAGTATGGCTTGATAGATAAATTCCAACAACCAAGCTCTGCATTTTGGATTTTTGCCTTACGTGTCACACTGTTTAATTACGTTATAATGCAGTAAGGCACATGTTGTAGTGCAAAAAAATTGTTTTCTAACATGCTTTGAAGTCATTCATGCTATTACAAATGTTTAACACTTTAACCATGTTGCAGTAGTTAGTTTTGAGGTTCTCTTTGACTGTACTAGTTACTGGACTTGCTAGAAAATTACCTTTTTTTTTTTTTTTTTTTTTTTTTTTGGCTTTAATGCTATGCAGTATGAACAGAGGGGGCACACTTTATCAACTGAAAAGGAGACACTTTCTTATAGCGATGAGGACTTCATTGCCAACCTAATGGAACAACATGATCAATTTGTTGACTCAATGCGGGCTCGTTTAGCTAAATTAGAGGTACGCAGTGATAATGCCTTTAATTTCCTGCTTGATTGCTGATGATTTTTTATGCTTCAATCCTACTGTCTTATGACTGGATGATGAAATAGAAATTATTCTTTATTTGTCATAAGTATATTGTGGTATTTGCTTAACTCATACAATACTTTTACAATTTATTGTCATCGTCGTGTTATTATTAATTATATTTTAACTACTGTATTTTGTTTTATTAATAATAATTATTAATAATAATAATGTTATAATTATAAAGAAATACTCCCTACTTAATAATAATTCAATATTAAAAATATAATTTCAAATAAAAATAGAAAAAAAATACGTTGTTAATAATAATTCAACATAACGGTTTACACAATTTTCTTAGGGTCAAGAGTGAATTCAGATAGATGTCAGACTTTAGGCGGTTCTGGTGATATTAAAAATGTAAATTTTAATAAAAATTGAATAAATATAAACACTATAATAACCAACAACTATTAAGGGTAAATTAGGCTTTTAAAATGAAAATGCAATAAGTTGATATCAATAAGCTACTCAAAGTAGCTTTTTCATTTTCAGCTTATTGGCACTAATAAGCTAAGCCAAAAAGTTTACCAAACACTCATATTAGTTGTTTGACCAGTCAAATAGCTAAAGTTGGTCAAACAAGCTGGACTTTGGCTGGTCCAAACACCCCCTAAGTGAATAAAAGCTCCATCAAGACCCCTAAAACTGGCAAAAATGTGCAATTAGCTCCAAAATGTGGTAACCTGCTGAATAAGTTATTTTGGACCTAATTGTTCTGCATTCTAATTCTGCTCTCTATCTGAACACCTTCATAAAATCCTTTTCTAGTGCCAGCTTCATTAATTTTTACTGTCGGACCGTGTAGTTTAGTTCAGAGTTACCATATCCTTGCACACAACACAATCTGGAATTACCTACCTATTCAGTTCAAGTCATACTTAGTATATCAAGTTATGAAGACTCGAGCATTGGTACTCTTTGCTGTATTGCAGCTATTAAAATTAAGTGATTTTAACCATTGTAGTACACATTGCAAAATTTTAGTTTACTGCACAGCTATAGACTAAGCCAACCAAGAGTTTCTCCATGTCATCCATATTCTATTTCAAACTTCTTTATAGTCAGAAGATGAAGCTGCGTTACAATGAACTTATTGTCTTTAATTTTTGCTGGTTCAGTTCCCTTTAAGGGTTGTCTGAGTATTATATGAAACTGTTTGCAGGTAGTCTGCAGATATTGGCAACGAAATGATATTAAAGGGGCACTGGGTGTGATGGAGAAGATGTCTGATCATGCTGTAATACTGTTTTTACATAGTGTGATTTTGTTTATTTATTTTTATGCTCACTCCATATATCTCTGACGCTGACTTATTTTGTCTCAATGTAATTGTTATGCTCTGGATACAGGTGCTTGCTGATGTGATGTACCTCTTGACCAAACAATCTGACATAATTACATTAGATATCTACACCTCTCTTCTGCCGCTCCTTTCAGCGCTTCTTGAAAGCGACATGGATAGGTAGAGGATTTTAGCTGGATTTATCTTTTGGTTCTTTTATATGTGTGTGTGTATATATATATATATACACACACACACACACATATGGGAATTTCTGAGGTGCCAATTGACACCCGTAACTCTTATACCAAGTACAAACCCTCAATGCCTTTTGCCCTTTTCAAAGCTTTAAGGCTGTCCATGGGTACAAGAGGCACGGTGTCGATCATCACCATAGCTCCTCCTCCCCCCCCCTCCGCCCTTCCCCCCTCTCCCCCCTCCCCCTCACACCCACCCACCACATATATATTCCTTTTCTGCTCAAGCTTAACATCTCTGAAATCTGAATCATTGAAGGTAAACGGATTAAAGAAGTTCTTTAACAAGATTATTGAATAATGAGTTAATGTATACTCGAAAATTTGTCTTCATGTACGCAAGCTTCTTTGGATGCTTTAAATTTCAATACATGCCTGTAGTGGACTGTCATGCCAAAGTCTAATATATTGGTTATCTTAGGCATCAAGATATTTCACTTGAAATGCTGCTGAAGCTGGTTAAAGTATTTGGGTCTATGATATATTCTTCACGGTCTGCTCCAGCATCAGTTGGCGTGGATATTGAGGCAGAGCAAAGGTAACTTTTCTCCATCATCCAAAGCTTATACTTGAGTTTGTTGAGCATATTATATTATATATAAACATAAATGTGTAATCCAACTATCCTTCTTAGTTGAGATGGAGCACATACTTCAATTTGGTATCAAAGCCAACCCCATGCAAGAGGTCATGGGTTTGAATATCTGTGCCACCCGATAAAAAGAAACTATGGTTCATGTGTTGCTTGGGCCCCATCAAAAAGTAACCGGCCCGCACATGTGAGGGGGCGTGTTGAGCATATAATATAATATATAAACATAAATGTGCAATCCAACTATCAGCTTAGCCTAGCTGCTGTTTCTGTGTTTGAAAGGTTGGAGCGCTACAATCTCTGCTATGTTGAACTTGAAAAGGTCAAATGTTGTCTGCCTACTCTAACCAGGTATGTTCCCATTTTCTAAACGTCGAAAATGCTTCTTCCATATCATTGATGACTAAACCAAGGCATATTTCGTTTTACAGAAAAGGAGGATCTATTGCCAAATCTGCACAGGAGCTGCTTCTAGTACTCAAAGAATTTTCATGACAATAGTATAGTACTGATTAAATATTTTGGACAGCAATGGTAATGTTGCTCGGGTGGGTTGTGATGTTTGGGGCTGCGAAGTCTGCTCGTGCTGTCATGTATTTATGGTTTGCAGAGGTAGCCACATTCTTGCAGGGGTGAAAGAAACATTAACGAACAACTAATTCTTTCCGTATTTTAACTGATAACTCTCTCACTTGGGACTCTACGGTGCAGCTCTGCTGGAGTGGTTGCTGGCAATGGACCAGGAAGTGGTGAAGAATTCATCACATTTTCCGTTCTAACCCCACTATTCACATGTTGCCGTGTAATTGTAGGCATTTTGAGTGAAACCGTGTATCGATGAAATTGGTTTGTGTATCAATCAATGCAAAAGGAGTGAATTGTAGGAAGAGGGTTGAACTATAACTATTGTGTTGATATATTTATAGTTGTTGAAAAATTGCAGTTATGGGCAACAGGTGAATAGGCAAAGAGTGTGTTGTTTCATTCTTCAATGTGCATCATCCATACACTTAATTATCTGCCCAATATTCAAATACTGAATAAAAGACAGGGTAATGTTGTGTACTAAATTTTGTCTAATTAATTCGTAATTGATTAATATATACTCCGTAAAAGTTAAAAAGAGATGCAGCCTTCTCCTTCAAATCGACTCAAACCCGGCAAATTATATCGTGCACCGCGGTGCATAATTGATTATGCACCGCGCATCAAAATGACGTCGTTTTATTTAATGAAAAGAAATAGAATTTTCGTAAAAAATAACTCTGTTATTTAGTTTCATTTTGTATACACTGCAGTTTTAGTTCAATGCAACTACAGTTTCATTTCGATATAACTACAGTTTCATTCAATATTTATACACTCAAATATGTGAAAATGTTATTTAATTTTATTTTATATACACTATAGTTTCATTAAAACACAACGATCATTTCAATATAATTACAGCTTCATTGTACAATATACACTCAAATATGTGAAATGTTATTCAGTTTCATTTTATATATATACTGTAGTTTCATTTCACCACAACTAAAGTATCATTTTGATATAACTGCAATTTCATTTGATAATATAAAAATAATACGTGATGAGACAGTGTCGGTTTAGACACACTGTAGTGTCACTCCATTATAATTACAGAAACGACGCCGTTTTGACGCGCGGTGCATAATCGATTATGCACCGCGGTGCACGATATAACGACTGCTCAAACCCCTTACCCTTGACAATTGTGATTTGACTTGTGCTCAATTTTTTGGGGTGATCATGAATGGTGGATTGGGGGTAGGGGAGGAGGTTTTTTAAATTATTCCAGTCACGAATTGATTATAATTTTTTGAGTTTTAATTTTTTGTATATTTTATTAAGGACAATGCTAGATGTCATTACATCTATTATATGTATATATTATTGATAACGTTAAATCCCAGCATATCTTTGGTTTGTAGACTAATACATGTAAAGAAGATGTAAAGAATATAGTAGATGGGAGAAAGTGTAGCTAAGAAAGGGTATTTTTATTCATTCTTCTGTATTCTAGAGAGAAGGCCGAGAAGTTGAATGCCCAAATGTTAGCTAGAGAGAGAGGGAGTCCAGGAGCCAAAAAGCCAAAAGCCCCCTTACTGAGGGGTTAGGTGCCTTTATATAGGCACCTGATCCGTACCCGATACCGTACACATGTACAAACTACGTAGGGCGGTATACCAGGAGTATATTCCCTATCAACTAGCCCCCCAGTCCGTGCCTTGACGTCAAGCTAACAAGGAAGGGCTCGGGCTGAGAGATTCAAGTACACGGTCCGGGACGAGCTCCTCGAGTCCGAGTCGAGCATAAGTGCGCGATATACACTGGTTGCCTCATTAAAAACGTTAAACTAAGAAAAACCTAGTGAGAGAAAACTTAGTTAAGGAAAAAAGAGTACAACCACATGTGCAATCTTTCGGGGCACTGGGCTTACTCACAATCTAGGGATTGGAAAATCCGACTACACGGTCCGTGACCTACGCCGGTTGCCTCGTTAAAAACCTTAGACTAAGAAAAAATCCGGTGGGAAAAAATTTTAGCCAAGGAAAAAAGAGCACAACCACAGGCATAGTCTTTGGACTATTAAGGAGTTGTCTGGTTTCTACCGATCTAGGGATCGGATTTGCGACACGGATCTAAGAGATTGAATTTTACCCGTCTAAATGACCGAACTACCAGCTATGACCAGGAGGTCAGGCTAATTGCGATTTGGAGATCCAACGATAACAAGACCGGGACAGTCATTATGCTCATGAAGCGCGTTAAGGTGTGCTATAGCCACCAAGTGCACTATGCTCGGTAAATGCATTATGGTCGGGAAATGCACTGGTGAACTTCGTAGGCCAAGGGTTTGCCTATAAACCTAACAATTTGCTCGAGAAGTGGCTCGACCGGGTTCACGGAGCTGGCCGTACTCATGGTAACACTGATCAACTTGCCTATCTTATAGGACTTTGGAGACTACGAGGTCTGAACTTACCGATCAAGAGATCGAACCTCGATGCAAAGAAGAGATTAAACGTTGCCGATCAAGTGATCGGACTTCCAATCATGATCTGGTGATCAAACTTACCAATCAAGAGATTGGATTTACCCGAGGTGGGAAGATCGGCCTGACGGGATCAGTTGCCTACTTTGTAGGGCTTATGCTGACCAAGGGACCGGATCTCGACATGATGAAGATATTGAAATGTACCGATCAAGTGATCGGACTTTCTAGCACGATCTAGCGATCAAACTTACCAATCAAGTGATTGGGTCTACCCGAGGCGAGAATGTCGACCTAGCGGGCTAAATTGCCTACTTTGTAGGTCTTATGCCGAGATTTGATCCCAGTCCTGCAATGCTAGTGGTGGCATCATCGTTGAGAAACGGGAAATGTTCTTCGTTGAAAAAGCGGGATAGATACATCGCTGATAAGCGGCATCGCTAAGAAACGGTACAGATACATCGCTGAAGAGCGGCATCGCTAAGAACGGGATAAACACATCGCTGAAGAGCGGCATCGCTAAGAAGCGGTATAGATACATCGCTAAAGAGCGGCATCGCTAAGAAGCGGTATTGACCGGTCTAGCTGGACTCATAGCGCCAGTGGTGGCAATGCCGACCTAACCGGACTTAACTGCTTACTTTATAAGACTTATCCCGAGACATTAGGTTTCGAGCTTAAAAGACCGGTGGTGGTAATGGCAACCTAACCGAGCTTAATACCCGACTATTCTATATACATGATTATGTACAACTTACAAAGCAAAAATCAAGGCACTGAAATGAAGGAGCTTTAGCTGCTTGGTGCATCTCCGGTCTAGTCGTTTGATCAACCGGACTGGATCTTGCTGGCCTGCTTGATAATCCTGTATCCGACCAGTAAATTTGGGCGAATAATCTCGAACATCATCGTCAAAGCCAAGGAAGCTTGCATAATAAAAATCCAATCGTAAGCAGATTGTGCTACCCCACAAATTCCATCAACTCGAAAAAGCCTAGCTGCTTTGAGGGCAATGGTCGAACAAGGGAGTGCTAGGAGCTACTGGAGGTCACCGTAGTTTTAGTTCCTGAAATCTTCTCTTTCGTCAGTTGAGATTAATTGACTTCCAACTTCAGTAGTCCAGTTGCTACACCGAGCATCTCTTTGCAGTCTTTGTTTGAGATGGTGTGGCCGGGCTGCCGGAGTGGTGGCGTTGCATCGGAAAGTTCCTGTGCAATAAAATATTGATGTTCTCTTAGTCGGGAAGTCCGCCGGATACACTTCAACAAATGGGGCCCATACGCCATTGCTATTGTGATGATCGGGGAGTGGTACGATTCATGCGTCCGACCAGTGAAGTTGGGCATGTAATTTGGACCATCATCATCAATGCCGGGGCAATTTGCACAATGAAAATTCGATTACAAGAACGGAGTCCATCTCTTTGATTTAGAGGCAGTCTCTCATTTCTTTTTCCCTTTTTTCATTTTTCCCAGGCCACCGCCACATGCAGCCAATAGCCATAAGCTTTGCTATTTTTTTTTTTCTTTTTGCATTTTCCCTTTCCACCGCCACTCCCCCCAATCAAAATGCATGCAAAATTCAATTTTTGTTTTCTTTGCTTCTACATTCCACCGCCACACATCCCCAATCAGGTTGCATGCAAAATCCAACTTCATCTCTTTCCTAAAACCAAAGCTGCTATGCCACTGCTTTTGCCCTCCAGAGACATGCTTCGGAGCTGGAGCAAGAGTTTCTAATGTTGACGGAGCGGCGGTGGCCTCGGTGGGAGGGGAAGAGGCAGCAGGTGGATGAGAGGTGGGGAGATCCTGGATTATTTGCCAGCCGGTTTTGAGAAGACTGGCTTCACTAGACTAAACAATCACTGTTGGAGGATGAAAATAAAGAAGCAGAAAAGCTTAGTATAGGGAGATTATTGTCATTCCATATTGTCATTCCATATCCTTCCTTCTTTCGTTTGTAACCTGTCCATACATTCACCTTGTGTATATAAACCAACATGTAAAGCTATGCAGTTAACTTCAATATACAATCTTCTTCTTCTCCAATCTGCTCGCTTCTCAGATGTAGTCCATATTCCAACATGGTATCAGAGCGGCGAGGCAGCCACGCCGCCGCTGCTATCGACGCCGGAGAATCGAATCAAAGAGAGGTTCATCGCGCATCTCCGATCAAACCGCAGAGTTCCGATTAATCCGCACCGCAGAGGTTTATTGCTACGGAGAGTAGCAACAAAGCCGACGCCACCAGTCAGATTGCTGCGCAGAGTAGCAATAAGTCCATAGTTCGCGCATCGCGAATCAGTCCGATTGCTACGCAGAGTAGCAATAAGTCCATAGTTCGCGCATCGCGAATCAGTCCGATTGCTACGCAGAGTAGCCGATCGGATCACCAACGATTCCGCAGAGGAATCACAAGATAAGGAGACTCATCTTCCCGGCGATCTCCACAGTCGTTCCGCAGCTGAAGGAAGGAATTGATCTGCCGAATGATCGAATGATCATTTTGGAGAAGACGGAGCAGTTCTCCGATTCTCAATGACGGAGCAGTTCTCCGATTCTCAATGACGAAGCAGTTCTCCGATTCGCAATCTGAAGAAGACGGAGCAGTTCTCCGATTCAGCAAAGCGGTTGCGTCTCTCGATCGAAGCAGTTCTCTGTCTCGCGGTTGCCTTCGAGCCGATGCCGCCGTCGGTGAGGAGACGGCGCCGGGAGTGGAGCCGCAGGAGATGCGGCGGGAGGTTGCTCTTGCGCAACTAAACAAAGTGAAGAGGATGCTTGACGGTATTCTCGACCGCGGTTTCAGCTCTAAATGTAAATCGCTGATAAAGGCCACTAGATCGCGAATTGAATTGGGAGAATCGGCGTATGTATATTTTATCATTTCCTGTAGGCCGTTTAGCTCTCAGAAGCTCTGAGAAGCCTAAGCTATGGTGGCTAAACGAACGGGACATTTGATTCATTCTCCG